GCTCACACCTTTGACTGTGACTGTAGCAGCAGGGAAGATGTTTATCGGGTGGCTGCAAAGGTACAGCGGGAAGTTGGAGATGTGGACGTATTGGTAAACAATGCTGGAATCTTGATTGGAAAGAAATTGATGAACTTAAAAGATGTCGAGATTGAAAGAACTATGAGAATCAACACTTTGGCACACTTTTGGGTAAGCCTCGTACACATGCCTTGCATTGCATATAGCTTAGTTATTTGATTAAGCTGTTTTACAAAAATTGATAAGTGCAGGAATTGTAAGCTGCATTCAAACAGTTTCAAGGTTGCAATGTTTGTATATTTGGAGACCAATTAAAAGGGTGTGAAATTCAAAAGGAAACAAGAGCCGTATTTTTTTTTTTTTTTTTTTTTTTTACTGTTACTGATGAAAAATATTAGAATTTACTTAACAAAAGACATTAATTTGTCATTAAATTATTGTCATGTACATGTACATTGTATTCATTTGGTGGAGGGTCAGGAGGTTGGCTTTAATGAGTGTCAGTGTGGAATATGATGTTTTCTTTAAATACTTAGTGTCAATAATATAGATGTAAGTGCTCTCAATTTGAAGTGAATGACTGCAAATATTTGACGCGTATTTGAAATTAAAAATTAATTCATATAAAAGTTATGATAAATAATTTATTCAATGTCTGCAGAGAGATTTTTTCTTAGTGACAGCCCTTCAATTTTGTCTCACCTGCCTATATAGTTACTCAAGTCAGTCTTATTTTCTTTATACAATGTGATATCAGTCTGCTGTCTGCTACATACTACATGTAGGTTAATTTTGAATGTATTCATAACACAAACAACTTGAACTGTATTTTCAAATAATTATTGTTTCTCCGAAATTATCTATAGTCCTCTCCCTTGGAAGTGGTTTGGTGTGAATTCATGAATTCATTCCACTCACAATTGTCATGTCTTTCCCCAGAGGGGAAATGGGTGTCACACACCCCTTTACTTCTTCAAAAATTCTAAAGTTTAGCTGTACAATTTGGTCTTACTCCCAATATTTGCCTTCTGAATTGTTACCAGTAGTAAGATCATCAAGCCTGTAATTTTCCATGAGCTCCCTTCTGGAGAGATCAGTGCATTGAAAAATTTTGCTTCTTATTGCCCTGCAGACTGTAAGGTCATTTCTTCCAAACATGCTGGAGAAAAACAAGGGTCACATTGTTAACATAACATCACTGGCAGGCATTTTTCCTGTATCCAACTTGACAGACTACTGTGCATCTAAATTTGGGGCAACTGGATTCAGTCATTCTTTAGCACTGGAGCTCTATGAAATGGGCAAAACTGGGGTAAGAGTGACTTGTGTTGAACCGTACACCACAAACACTGGACTTGTGTGGCATCCAAAGGCACGGTAAGTACAATATTGCAACATTGACAATGTGACTTGAGGTGCTTTTAAACACTTCTTGTTTTGGAGAAAGAGAGCAGAACTTTAGGTGAAAGCATTTTAAACATGAGGGCTTTGTACTTTAAAAGCTGGTCTGACCATCTGGACTGAAAGACTGGATAAGGTTTAAACCCAATGGCCCATTTGGATGTACATGTACTTACAGTATCTCCAGTTTATACAGCATAGAGGAATCATAGTCCATAGCTCACTGTCACTACCTCTGTCACTGTATTTGATTTGCCAACTGGTACAATTTTATGCACCTGAGTGGAGAGAGGTGCTGTGATTCAGTGTCTTGCCTTAAGGAACACAACACAGACTGTGATCAGTGACCCATCGCTCACCACAATGATCCAGATCATAGAGTCAGTCCAGTGCACCAACCATGGCCTGAGATGCTCTAATCTGACTGGTACAGTACACTGTAGCACTCATGGAGTGGTTCTGAGACTTGTGTTCTCTGATCTTGCTTTTGGACCTATTTGTAACATTTTCACAAGAGTTGACAAAGGGTTAAATTGCTCATTTGCTCATAACTGGCAGATGACTTTATGTCTCCCCTCGTGTGGCCATTCATCTACACTGTAGATGACTGTCAATGGGAGTTGCAGGAAACTCTTGCACTACCTTTTAAGGTGGACCTTAATGATTTGAAAAGGGGACAAATAAGAAAAGAAAAACATTTCTACCCGTAATTTCTCATAATTGACTTTTATTGTTGGATGCCCTTGATTTTACACAATATGTGACTGTAGGTTGTGGATGTGTTTTTGCAGTTTTCCATCCTTGTATCCTACACTGGAGCCAGAATATGTGGCGAAAGAGACAGTGGCTGGCATACTCAGAGATCAACCAGTTGTTATGATTCCTCGTCATAGTGCAGTAAACTTTGCCCTGAATGCGTAAGTTGATTTTTCTTTTTAAATCTTGCTTTTACATGTGCTTGTACTGTATGTACAGTTCATTAGTGGTTACCTTTTGCAAGTGCCAGCTGAATGAGACAAGTGCCTTTTTTTTTGGAATGCACTATATAAATTTGTGGTTAGTTTCACTCATTTTTCATGTGGTTAATTAACATTTATTTGTTGGAATTATAGGGCCATATACAGTAAAATACATTTTATATAAATAAATGCTGTCAGCCTTTCCAATGAATAAAACCTAACCGTAAGACTAAGCAAACATGAGTGATACTAACCCTAAACAAACAATGCATTCCATGTTCAGTGTTCTGCGTTCAACATTTGGCAAATTTACCCCTGCTGACCTGCAGGCATTTTCAATAACTAACAATGATAAATAGTATTTAGTAATACAGGGTGTAAGTAGTTTAAAATAATAATTGCTTTTTACCTTAGGAAGCATTGCTGTATCAAGAACTTGCCTGCATTCTGGGTGCTTGCAAACTGGAACCAAAGAGCAAAACATCAACGAAGCACTGGGTTCTTGCTCAGTTAGCACATTGCCAGAATGCAGAAAAAGCCCTTCATACAGGAATGCTTGCTACATCACTGTGCACATTTTTGTACACGAGCTATTTTGACCCAGTCAGGCACTTTTTCTTACAAAGCCCCTATTAATAGTAATATGCATGCAGACTAATGGATATCACTAAACTCTCTAGGGAAAAACTTATCTCTAGAGACAAGTGATCTGGAGATCAATGTAGATGTATTCTGCATCAAAGTACTCCTGAAATTACCCTGTGGGGTATCTACTAACAGGGTATTCGACTGAAATATGACCCTTTGATTAAACTGGCCTCAGTTTCCATGGAGTTTGGTTTGTCATCCTGTATTTAATGGTCTTGTAGTGGTAGGAGAGCTTGTGTGTTTCCATGACCCCAAGATCTATACCGGCTGGGAGTTCAATCTCCTTGGCAGATTCAATCATACCGGGCAAGTCAGAGGGTAGAAACCAGACTAAAGGAAAGTCCCTGGCCCTCCAGGTTGGGGGTTTGGCATAGGGCCAATTACCCTACACCGTAAAACAAAGCCTGATTATGGAAAAAAATATATAGCCTTAGGTGTCCTGCGGGGCATGATGAGGAATGAGATGAGATTTAATGGTCAACCTGTATTAAACAATATTAGTTACATACTCATTCCTCAAGACTGACAGCTAAACGCAGGTGGAGGGAAATGATCTTAATGGTGGCTCAGGGGAAGCTGTACATATTGTATTGCATTAATCTGTTCAAACACCTTGGAAGTTCAGGAAAATTCCTGAATCGAGTGAAAGCAGCGCATCAATGAATATTAGTCTGTGATTTGTTCACTTTAATCAATAGTGAAATCAATTTGCCACTTGTAATTACATCAAGTCAATCTTTATACATGTGTTCTTTTTTGTTTGTTTTTTCAGGATCATGCCAGCAAAAGCCGCGCTGGTGTTATATGACTTCCTTCAAGTCGGAGTGGGTGAACACGTTCCAGCAGATGAAAAGAAGTCTGATTAGATGCTGGGTTAGAGCTGACTTGTCTCCGACCTTCTCTCACCATAAAAAAACAAACAAACAAAAAACATTAAAGGGTGTGAATCTTTTCCTGCTGAAAAATCAACGGTGCTTTCATTATGCCAAAAATTCCGGTAATTTAGGTCGAAAGTCAGATGGAAAGGTCCGGTTCGGTTCGGTCCAACAGGAATATTCGGACCACTTCGGTTGGACCGGTCGGACCGAATTGCCGTTCCATTTTGACAAACCCGTTTGAGCATTGCCCTGCTTCTCTTCTGTAGATTTCACTTATCTAGGGAATTCGGAAAAGTAATTTATAAAAATAGTAATGGCCATTCCTCTCGGTTGGCCTGGTTTGATCGGAAAATATCGTTTTGTTTTCCTCGGTTAGTCCCGCTGGTCTCTGACCGGTCGCTCTGGCATAATGAAAGCACCCTAAGTCTTTAGTATCATCTGTATAGAAGAATGTTAAATACATACTGTAGTATGGATGATTATGTACACATGCATACAGACATGCCAACCCCTGATAAAGGGAAATCAGGATATCCATGAGAAAAACAAATGCTAGTAATGATAATAATAAAAATTCGGGAGGTTCTATTTTTTTTCTGAAAAAGATTCAACAAACCCTTCTTTACACCATTTTGATCCAATTGTGATCGCTCGTGTCGTATGAACTCGCAAAGACTACAAGGAAACTAAAAACAAGCGCAAATCACACTGTACGTTAGAAACCACTAAATGTAATGCTGAATAGTGATTTGTTCCCCTCTATTAGTTCATTACTTTATGGCACGGCCACTTCTCAGTAATTTTTCATTTTTATTCAACGAGGTAATATTTCATTTCACAATTTCCCCCCAAAATCCGCGGGAGTCTTTTCGTGACGGCTGTGAAAAAAGATCAAAAAAATCGTAAGACTGATCCAGAATCGAGAGAGTTGGCAGGTCTGTGATATCCAGAAGAAACGTGTATGCCTGGTTGATTATTCTTGTCGGTTTGTTCTCAGAATGATTTTTTTCTTCACAAATATTTTCACAAATTGGTGTTTTTTAGTCAAAATCTTTCTGTGTAAATTTTTAGTATCTAAAGATTGTTTCAAGAGATTCGTCTAAACTACATATAGAGAAATTCAAAGCTTAAACGTTTGTTTTTAATTGTTTTAAACCGGTTTTACAGAGTTCTTACACAGTTTACCCAGGGCAACCTAGAAGTGTTTAGAATCCTTTAGGTTTTTGTTTCACATGTGCCGGTGAATGCAAAGGTGGCATTTTCCCCTTATCCAGGTGTATTTCATCACTTGACGGTCAAATACACACAGTACATGGATTTTAAATCTGTATGCGGTGATCATTGTCAAAATCGGACTCTTAATGAACTGTGCGTGTCGAACTATGTGCAACTTAGACTACTAATTGAACAAAACAATAAACAAAAGAAACTATCGACTATGTGGTGTTATCAGCAAAATCTTTACGCAATGTTGTTACCAAAGGGAAGAGATATGCAATGTAAACAAAGCAACAAAGATATTGTGGTGAATGACATTAAATTTAATAGATCGTTTTCACTGTCACGCAATAAAAAGATAAATCGAAAACCATCTAGTGGAAAAAGCTATGAACTTACGATGTTATAGAAGATAACTAAATAAGACACTTCTCCAAGTTTTAGGCCTGTGCGTTTCCCCAAACTTCAGATATTCGTCGAAATGTTTCGCAGATATTTGCAGAGCTCAGTATGAAAACGCCATGTTGGTGTACCTCCGTGGTACACCAACATGGCGGTCGGAAAATAGTGTAAAATCTGGAACTTACTTTGGCTATCTAGGCGACTGATTATCAGTACTGATCAAACAAGCATTTACATNTCAAAATGCTCTGGATTCCAAACGAAGCACGCTATTGAGCTGTAAAATTGTAAACAGATATAAATATACCGCCTCTTATGCCTGATGAGGATAAAAAACTTTAGAGGCTCTTTAGCTGTGGATTTTCGAAAGTGATGACGTCACGTGAAAACGATCTATTGACTAAATGTTGAGCAGGGCTACCAAAGTGTCATCTGTTCTGGGTTACTTTCTAAATTTTGTAGCTCACTGGGGAATTCCCTCCCGTGTTCATAGTGTTACAGGAGGTCTTATTCACAGGTGTCCAGTTCGCAAGTGGGTGTCCGGGTGCCTGGGCGAATTTGTTGTTGTTTTTATTTTACCTTTTGCTGGCGTGACAGTGAAACCAAACCAGCTGTTATTGTGGTCTTTCAGTAAAAGAAAACAAGAGTGGTTGTATTACGCTACAGTTTCACTGGATCTACATTCAGGTCAAGACACAGAGATAAGATATGCCATTGTGGCTAACGGTATCGCGGAGGTCACGGGTTCGAGTCCTGTTGAAGCCCTGATTTTTTTCAGGCTTTTTCTTTCCGTTCAGTCGCTGTCACAGGATAAAAATGGTCGCGCCTAGAATAATTATTAAAAACAAAATGGAAAATTTCAATCTCGCACACCGAGATAAGAAAATGTCTGCTTAGCAGAATTGTCCACTAAACTTATGGGAAGTTAAAAAAAGTAGTGTCGAGCACTCTATAGTATTTTGCACTCTATGTGAGCATTAACCTACTGTCCTCTTATGAGTGTCCGACTACGAGATGTCTTCCTGGTGCCAGTGGAGCTGTCACTGTCTTCTCGCACCGAGTTCAGTCTAAATCTAACTCGGGAATCGTGATGTAGTCGAGTCTACGGCTCAATACTTCTTTACCACGCAGAATAATTTGGCCAACATAATCAGCAACACCGACTAAAAGGAAATCTTCGGGGACCATGAAGAGGCACTGTTTGAGACGCTGTTTTAAAAGAGCAAACCCTTTGTTGCTACCTTCTTTCACTGTAACATCAGCAACGCCATGAAAGCAACCTGTAGCTGTGAACTCAGGAGAAACTGCTTTGTGAATATTTGGCAACGTTGAGTTATCCTCTTGAGTGTAAAAATTAACAAGGTCTTCTAACCATTCGTAAGCAACTGGGTGAAGAGGAATCTGCTCGACGTCTTGTTCCGACAGCCCCTTGTGCTCAGACTCAAATTTATTTTTCTTCTCACAGGTTCTGATGTAGACCTTATGTGCTAACAAGTTGAGTTCTCCTTCAAGAGTAGCGAGTAACTTCTTGAAGAAAACCTCGACAGAACTCCATATTTGGCTCAACTTCTTGTAAGCATTTTCATCAAGCTCAATGCTATCGAGGTCCGTGACCTGCTTCCAAAACCAGCCTATCTTCTCGTGCTGAGGAACGTTATCAAGGTTGAGAAACATTTTGTTCCAGACATCAGTCGGGTTCATCACGAGCCAGAGCTAACCGGAAGCTCAAAAATTCGCCAGGTCCGGTTGCTATGGGGT